GTCCGGTCCCAAGACCGACACCCAAAGTTACCACTGACATATCGGCCCGTTACGCTAAGGCCATGCCTATTCACCTTTGCCACACTAGTGGTCCAATACCACTTGCATCACAAACCCGTCTCTCCAAGACTGGGCCATCCGACCACGAGTGGTCATCCAAGATCCACTCCTCAGCATCCTTAGGATGCCCACAGACATGGGGAATAGCCTTCCCCAATATCCCTTCGTTAGTTCCTACCAAGTCCATTTTCTATCCATGGCCATGTTCGCCAACACTGCCACTCGATCAAGGCCCACAGATCCGACCACTAAGTCCCATGGTCCTCCGGGACTTCTTCACCATGTGACTGTATCCTTAGTCACTACACTAGAGGACTACTCTTCCTCCTTTCCCCCATTTGGGACTCCAGGACAACATTTCGGAACACCGTGGGCCTACGCGAGCCCCGTGGGTACTCTCCCCGCCTTCCGCCTTTAGGTGCTTTAGCCATGGGCTTAGAGCGAGGTTCCGTTGAGCCACGCCTGGTATCCAAGTAGGTAGTGCCACCCACACTTGGACTGGGAGCATCGGCCAGTTGATCTCCCGGGGGAACTAGAGCCGGCTCTTGAACACTTCACCAAGCTACCCCGCTTGTCGGTCCGTATTCACTCTAGTCTTGGACTTCCCAGTGGTCAGTTCATCACCCAACACTGGGTCTGGCCTTCCTGGGCCAAACTGGCCTTTCTTGGCCAAACTGGCTCCACTGCAGTCCTCCCCCTACTATACTTTTGGAGCTCACCAAACCCCCCAGGGTCTGGGAGACGAACGCTTTGGGCTTTCACCCTCTCAGACTCAAACTTGAACTCGGACTTAGACTCGGACTCGGACTCGGACTCGGGCTCAGTCTCGGCCTCCGCCTCGGTCTCGGTCTCGGTCAAGGTCTCGGTCTCGGTCTCGGTCTCGGTCCCGGTCTCGGTCTTGACCTCGGACACCATCTCAGGTCCTTCTCGGACTCCATCTCGGATTCCATCTCGGGTCCATCTCGAACTCCATCTCGGACTCCGTCTTGGTCCATCTCGGACTCCATCTCGGACTCCGTCTCGGTCCATCTCGGAATCTATCTCGGACTCCGTCTCGGTCCATCTCCGACTCCATCTCAGACTCCATCTCGAACTCTACCTCGGACTCCACCTCGGACTCCATCTCGGACTCCGTCTCGGACTCCACCTCGGACTCCATCTCGGACTCCGTCTTGGTCCATCTCGGACTCCATCTCGGACTCCAACTCAGGTCCATCTCGGGTCCATCTCGGACTCCATCTCGGACTCTGTCTTGGTCCATCTTGGACTCCGTCTTGGTCCATCTCGGACTCCGTCTCGGTCCATCTCGGACTCTTCCACGTGTCATGTTTTGGTCCTTTTAGGTCCCTTTTTGGAGCCTCACTTATTGTTCGCTTCGTGCTTGTTCCCCGAGCACTTTGTTGGGAGTTCCACTCCCGCTCTCGACCTTTCAAGTCAGAGCTTTTAGTCCAAACTTACACTCGTTTGGCTTTCGCTTTGGCCACTACCACGTGGCACCCTTCCGGCTCCACTTTGGGGCCTAGGGATTTTGTGTCTCACGCATTCCTAGTTTGATCCGCTCCAACATATTTGGCTCCGCATGAAGCAAAAGGCTACAAAAACAAATGCTAAATTGCATCACCAACTTAGATGGTCCTTAACAAAGACAATGCAATTGTTGGAAAGTATCATCACAATTGTCGGCATATCCAAATGTGTGTTTGAAGACGTCTCGAATAATACTCTAATCCCCACAAATAGCTACATTCAAACCATTATACCACTACAGCGCCATCCCTTGGAAACACGTCGGAAACTTATACAAACATCGAGTATCATCCCAAGAATGATATATGGCAATCATTATAAAGTGATTGAACCAATAGTACACATTGTCCCTAAGGATTCCCATAAAAGAACTCTAGTTAAACATGAGGATTGGCACCAAGAGCAATAAGAGTTGTACCATGTGTTGTGAATACTGCCATCAATTGAGTTTGGTTGTTCAACTGCAATCACATAGCATCAAGCAATTGTGCTCCAAAGTCAAAGGAGGAGGAGATTACTGCTCTACCATAAAGATGAATGAAAAAGAAAGAGCAAAAGAAATGAAATAAAAAAAAGCTAGAAGGAAAGGGAGATATAGATAATGCAAAAGCTAGATCTAAACCAAAATCCCAAAAGGAAAGAATAAAAGAAAGAAATGGAAAAAGCTAAATTTAGATAATGCAAAAGCTAAATCTAAACCAAAATCCCAAATCCAAGCACTTTTCAAGAATAATCAAACGTGCCCCTCACCTCCACCAATGTGAGTGCATGGAATATAAAATAGTGCATGGAATATGGATAGGGAATACATAAAATGTGTATATCAATTATCCCAAAAACTCTAGTTTATATACAAAAGCAAGTGGTTCAAATTGAAACTACATGGAATATAAAATAATGTGAGTGCATGGAATATAGAAAGAGAATACATAAAATATGCATATTAATTATCCCAAAAACTCTAGTTTATATTGAAACTAATCTGATGGCTACCAAAATCTCACTATGCTAATATTAGTATACATTATTGTAGCTATACACTTGACCTCACATTTCTATATTTCAATTAATAGTAAGCCAAGATATAAAAAAAATGAATTTGGAAGTTTTTAAATAAATAGAGAATCAAGATAATTCTGGTTAGTTGTTTTACAAATTTGAATTAACTTTTGAATATAAATATTATTGTCCAGTAAATAATTTTCTATCTTTATGTGCAAGTTATAAACTAGTTCTTCAGCCATTATCTCTTTGATGATATGAAACTTGGCATAAAATGTAACAACATATAAATAAAGGTATATAGATTATGAAAAGAAAATATTTTAATTTTTTTTATAAAGGCCATGATAAACAAAAAATAATTTTAGATTCTTGCTTCCTTCCTTGATGCTTCCTTGATTCTGCCACACTTTCCATACATGTTGACGATAGAGGTTCCAGCGACAACATTACGCTCCCAGCCACACGAGCAAGTACGCTCCGTGGATCTTTATACCCTGTGCTTTATCCTGCTTCCAAGAACACGCTGCCAGGATCTCAGTCAGCGTCACCATATCAGGCCCGATCCCTTCCAGATCCAACTTCCACAGCAGCGCAATCGCCGCTCTAAACTGCCCATTATGGGCATTTGCGGCAATCGCAGTGTTCCAGTCCGCGCCGATGCCGGCATCCCCGAGCTGGCGATAGAGCTCGATCGCAGCGGGGAGCCCGCCCTGATCGGGATTTCTGGTGCAAGCAGCCAGCATCGCGCTCCAGGCGACTATCGTCTTGCGCGGCATGTCATCAAAGACCTTCCGCGCGTCTGCCAGGCTGCCGCATTTCCCATACATGGTTAAGAGGGCGCAGCACACGACTGGATTGCTCGCGATCGCGGGTGGCGCGGCGATGATCTGGGCGTGGATCCGGATGCCCGACTGGAGATCGGGGCAATTGCCGCAGGCGGCGAGCGTGGCGACGAACGAGACGTGGGTGGGGCGGACGACTGAATCGCTGGCGAGGGCGAGGAAGAGATGAATCGCTTGCACGCTCTGGCCGTTTGTGCAGAGCGTCGAGATCATGATGTTACAGGAGAAGGCGTTCTTGTGGACGAGATCGTGGAAGACGGACCATGCGTCCGGGAGGCTGGAGCACTTGCCATACATGAGGATGAGGAGATTGCTGAACAAGGGGTGGTGGCGTAGGTCGAGGGTGGCGGCCAGGCGGCGGTGCAAGAGCTTCCCTCGCAGGAGGGACTTGGAATCACCACATTGGTGCAGAAGAGTCGCGATTTGGCGTGGAGATGCCTGCAGGAGGCACCGCGATCACTCCTCTTGCTACTTCGCTGGATGTCATGGCAAAGACACTCTCTCTCTCTCTCTCTCTCTCTCTCTCTCCTTTCTTCTCTCTCTCTCTCTCTCTCCATGATCCTGTGAAGAGCTTCATATGGATCATCACATTTTTGTCAATAGCTTCACATAGGCACTAAACAACAGACATAAAAGAACTCAGAAGCAATCAGTCTTCTAAGCATCTTATCCTCCGGCATCAAATGTTGGATCAGTGATGTCCTTTTTGAAGTCTCGCTTGTTGTTTGAGGTGGGCACGTGCTCCTATTGGTGTTCATGGGGTGTTGCAAAGCTGTGGGCTCTCAATGTAAAGGGGATTTCCTTGGCAAAAGAGCTTGAAAATTTGGTGTGCTGTTTTTCTTGTTTTGCCATTTTGTTTTACATGAGACATGTAGGAAATCCTGAGCTCAAAAGTTCACTAAGATTCATTTGCATAAACTACACTTTGGCAGAAAAATTATAACATTTATTACAAAATACAATAATCAGTTAAAAACAACCCATTCATCATCGAATGGATCTAGGACGTACAATTTGCCTTGCTTCTCCACACATTGTCCAATATTCCAGCGATGGGTAACTTTGGTAAAATCCACACACTTTGACAGCGCAAGAAGGAACGGGGTTACATCTGCCAAGAAGTGGTCATCCTTTGACCCCTCAAACTTTGGAGCCACCACCACGCTCTCTTGATGACCTTGGTAGAAGTCAATAATGTCATCCAGTGCCACCACCCGCTTGAAATCCCGAAACCCTACATGGTCAAGATTCTTGACTTTCGTCCCGTCCTTTAGAACAACGCAATTGCCACCATGTAGCCTCCTCGACACAAGCCCCCCAGTAGGATCCAGATGGTCAACCACAAGGTTGACATACTTCTCCTGGGCGGCACTAAACACCACGATATCGTACACTTTTGAAACCTTCCCCAGAAATTCATCTACGCCTGGTCTCTTCATGATGTGGAGTGGTGCATCATCGTCGAATTCCATGCTGAAATCTACAGAAGAGACGAGATCCTTATGAGCGTATACCAGTGTATTGTCTAGATCGAGAATGAGTGTCTTCTTCATGATACCCTAAAAAATGACTCGAATGAAGAAGGGCCACAAAAGGTGACCAAAGGTACCACGTCTGCCCTAAACTCTATCCGACGTGGCCTTTTGTACTATTGGCAAAGCCCAAGGGAGCCGGACGAGCGCGTCGATCCTCAATGCAGCTTAGATTCCAAATGTGTTGGCCAGGGGGCGTCCGGGAAAGTATACAAGTGCCGTAGCAAGGAGGACGAACAAATCTACGCCATCAAAGTCATCAAGGTTCGCACAGCAACGAAGTCCAGAGACCAGGATGTCGCGCTCGTCTTCAAGGAGGGAGAGATGCTCCAGCGCTGCGAACACCCCAACATAGTCAAATACTTCGACATGTGGAAGGAGGAAGGCGAGCCGGGCAAGTCGAAAGTGTACATTGTCATGGAGTTTTGTGGCCGCTCGCTCCAGTCGGTGCTCCTCGGCGGTGAGTCACCACCTGCAGATGCGTTTAGGCAGCTTCTTCAAGCTGTGGCGCATGTGCACGACAACGTGGGTGTTCATCGGGATATAGCACCACACAACATCTTCGTCACAGACGATGGACGCATCAAGCTGGGAGATTTCGGTCTTGGTAGGCAAATGAAACATCTCTTCCATCTCTCATTTGTTGGCTTACAGCTAAAAATAAGGAGTCCATGCTCGAGACCGAAAATATCAAGAAGGGGAGAGCAGTTTACTACTCTCCCCAGCGCCGGAGCAACTCAACCTACACTGACATGCTTGCGCTTGGAGTTATACTCTTCGAACTTCATTGGAGGTGTCCCCCGGACCAGGTTTGGCTGCAGTTTGTGCAACGTGCTTGCTTAGTTTGGTGAATCTGTGTAGGAAAGGGAGTCGGTATTGATTGACGTCCGGGATGGCGTTTTACCAGCAGACTGGGCGTACCAACACCCATCAATTGCGCCCAAGGTGTTGGAGCTGGTCGCAGCAAGACGCGACCAGCGTCCATCCGCGCGCGACATCCTCTGCGATCCTGCCTGGCAATCTGTTTGGTGAGTTTCTTTCATTACTCTGATTCTCTGCTTGGCTTCTAACATGTCTGTTTGCAGCTGATCGTTGTAGTTGTTTAGATTTACTTGCTCCTTTTTGTCATCTTTGTAGTCTTGGTCTTTTTCAGCATGCTGATTTCGATTCAGAAATATGAATTCGTTGCCAGTTCATTGCATTTCTGCCAGGCCGAGTTGTTCTCGATCAAGGTTGCTGAACAACTCAAGGGCTTCCGACATTCTTGTAGTCAGGTTCGGTTCAAGGAACAGGATTGGTAAGCAGCACATTGACGGGAGATGCAACAGCGTGGTGTCCACGGCTGGCTTCTTGTAGGGTCCATGCATCTCACCTATAGTGGGCAGAGATCGAGTGGAAGCTGGAGAGCTATCCCAATTCTCGGGAGATTGGATGAAGAAAATGGTGGGATTGTTGATTTTTGTAGAGAGAATATTCGCACCTTTGACCTGTTGACCTTTTTACAGGGAAACGTTTTCCTACAGGCCTTTCTGAATTGAATCCAAGGAACCTGGAAGTCAAAACAAGAGAGTAGCTTCAGAACACTCAAAATCTCACCCCTGCAAGTTCTGTTGGTACAGGGTGAATGAGTTTCTTTATGCCCCCTTTTTTGACGAGTCTGCAAAATTATAGAAAGGAAGAGTCAAATGGAGAGAGAGAGAAATATATATATATGAATTGATCCAGGTTTCTTGTTTTTTTCATACCTTGAGGAACCAATCGTTAAATTCCACTGATTTCTTTGCATACTTGAATGCAAAGAATAACAAATAATGAAGCTAGGTGCTTGGTTAGATTGAGGCAAGTTTTCAAATAGCTAGAACAATTTTTAACTCTTTTAAGTTGTTTAGTGTTTAACCATCATGACATCAATCTTAAAACACGTCCAGAAGTTGGATTTTGTGCCCTCTAGATTAATGATGTTAATTTTAGACTCTTTGTCAGTGTTAATCCTTGTAATTTATAGGATAATATAGAATTTCTCAGTTTTATATAGTTTTTCAAATTTTACTTGATACTCTTCCAGTTCTAGATATGAGGCAAAATAAAGAACTTCATAGTTTTTTATATGAAAACTTTAAAGTTGCTAGATTAGAGAATATTCTAGAATATACTTAGATATTTAGGTATATTCTTTATACCTATAAAGCGAAATGTAAAGAAAATCCAAATTAAGAATACTAAAGTATTCACAAATGAAAATCACGATTTAAACATTGTACATTAAAACCGTTTTGATCAGCTAAAAACTAATCGCTCAAGTGACCAGCTTAATTTCAATACCAGAATGTGGATATTCAGTACCGCGGTTCCTCTGCTGCAAACGAAAACACGTAAAAATACTTGTAGGGCAGGGACAATAACATCGTCCTATTCATCTTCATTGTTTTTGGTTTAGTGTTGACCACCAAACCTAAGTTGGATATAAACAGCTTTTTGCTTTTTCTTGGACTTTCCGAGAATGTGGATCACTATTGGATTTGTATGGCTGGATCGCATCCCAGTATGCAAATGATCTTGTGCGCCTCATGACACCCAATGCGTGATACACGACTGTCAAGGCGTTTGTGGAGAGTTACTTTGGCTACGACATGACATTTGGGTGTTGTCGCGGGTGTCTTGGTCGGCTTCCCGGTCTTCTTTGCCTTCATGTTTACCTAATGTATCAAGTACCAGGAGATAGCTCTTTTTTTCCAATCTCTTTCAGGCTCGGTCAAGCAAAAGTTGTGAGCTCATTACTAGGATGATACACTTTTGAAGCAGAAGAGCTTGAAAACTTGGTGTTCTTTTGGCTTGTTCTACC